AGTTAAAGGCCTAAGATTGAGTTCATCATTTTATTTTGCAGACTATTATCAGTTGAGGTCAAGTTTTAAGCATCAAATCTTTGCCAGAATCTAAGATAATTTCAAGGCTAAATCCTCTGGCTTTGAATGTCCAGTGCAAAACGTTTCAGTTTTGTAAAGCGGGAAAGATTGTTTCTAAATTTATTTTTTTACTACTAACCTTTTGCACAAGAAACTTGTGTTGTTTGATATTCTAGTCGTATGACTGATGAAACCAAAGGCAAGAAACCGAAATACGACTTTCTTTGTAAAACAAAGATAAATGCAAATAGCTATTGTAAGAAAGACGTGAAACCTTCTGTAAAATAGAAGTAAAATGGGTGAAAAACGGTTACCAAGTATAAAGATTGAGCTCGATTTGTACAGAACAACAAAAAGGCCGTATAGGAACCTGAAAATCAATGGCTTGTCAACTTCTCCATAAATTAAGCGCGCAAAGTTAAATTGTCAAACAGACTGGATTTTCCCGCCTTGTATTAATTTGAAACTTAGCAATACTGTGCGATTTATATAAACTTTGCGTTACAACTGACACTGCAAAAAAATTAAGCAAACTAGGACGGCCAAGGAAACAACATTAGACGAGCTGGACTAAACGGAGATTTTATAAGAAGACTTTCTGCTCATGTGATAAACATTTTCATGAAAACAGTTTCAATTTTGAATGGCCTTGTTTCACCCGTTGTTTACATTGGGAACACTGACAACGGCTACCATCTTTCTGGATCTTAAAACTTGTTCTGCTGAAGATAACTGACCACGCGCAAAAAATGCAATGTGTACATGATATTAACATTTATAAACTTCTCATGACGTTTATGGGCACAAATTAAGCATGTCTATTTGATTAAATTCACACAAGCGGTTTGATTGTTAACCAACTGATAAATAGGTATGAATGAAATGAATTTGACTCAACACAGCAGAAGTACCGATGTTAATGCGTCAGATGAAAAAATGAGGGAACTTCGTAAGAACGACGTCCTTCTAAGGCAATTCATGTCGTATAAGAATATTAATCAAAATATTAATGGTCTGTGTAATAGCAGCTCTGATTATAAAAGCGCTGGTGTATGAATTTAAATGAAAACATGATTTTTTAAAACTTTTTTAAAACATTTTTTTAAACATGATTTCAGATTTAAAACTCTGATTTTCCTGATCATACATCGCTTCTCTGCTTTTATTTTTCAGTCTTAGAATATGACGCCAAAGAATTGTTTGACGTGCAATTTCTCCCTACAGTATCAATATATTCTTCAGCCAACAGTTTGGAGTATAAAGAAACTTATCAGCTGGACGGCGTCAAATTGATGCAACACTTTATTCTCTAAAAATATTTCCTGAGATATTTGTTACATTTGCAAAGGAGACTTAGTAAGATCATGGAAGTTAAAGGCCTAAGATTGAGTTCATCATTTTATTTTGCAGACTATAATCATTTTAGTCAAGATTTAAGCAACAAATCTTTGCCGGAATCTAAGATTATTTGGAGGTTATATCCTCTGGCTTTGAATGTCCAGTGCAAAACATTTCAGTTTTGTAAAGCGGGAAAGATTGTTTCTAAATTTATTTTTATTTACTACTAACCTTTTTTACGTAAGAAGCTTGTCTTGTTTGATATTCTAGTCGAATGACTGATGAAACCAAAGGCAAGAAACCGAAATACGACTTTCTCTGCAAAACAAAGATAAATGCAAATAGCTATTGTAAGAAAGACGTGAAACCTTCTGTAAAATAGAGGTAAAATGGGTGAAAAACGGTTACCAAGTATCAAGATTGAGCTTGATTTGTACAGAACAAAAACAAAAACAAAAAAAGCCGTTTAGGAACCTGAAAATCAATCGCTCATGATCTCCATAAATTAAGCGCACAAGTTTAAATTATCAAACAGACTAGAATTATCTCCCCGCCTTGAATTCATTTGAAATTTAGCAATACTGTGCGATTTGTATATGATCTGCGTTACAACTGACACTGAAAACGTTAAGCTACTTAGGACGGCCAAGGAACAACAGTAAACGAGCCGAGGCCAAAAGAAGATTTTATGAGAAGAAGAATTTCTGCTCATGTGATGAACATTTTCATTAAAACAGTTTCAATTTCCTATATTCCTATCAATTTACTAAAAACGGCTACCATCTTTCTGGATCCCAAAACTTGTTTTGCCGAAGAAAACTGACCCTGCACGAAAATTGCAATGTGTACAAGATATTAACATTTGTAAACTTCTCATGACGTTTATGGGCACAAATTTAGCTTGTTTATTTGATTAAATTCACACAAGCGGTTTGATTGTTAACCAACTAATGGATAGGTATGAATGAAACGATTTTGACTCAACACGGCAGAAGTACCGATGTTAATGCGTCAGATGTTCTTTATCCAATGGATAAGAAGAACATTTTGGAAAAAGAGGGAACTTATTAAGAACGACGTCCTTCTATGGCAATTCATGTTGTGTAAGAATATTAATCAATATAATAATGGTCAGTGTAAGAGCAGCTCTGATTATAAAGGCGCTGGAATATGAATTGGAAAATTGATGAGAGGTCGCATTAACACATCAAAACATTGACAATTAAATATCGTACTTACCTCGACTCTCACTCTGAACGCTTTATTGCTTTGTATGGTGAAACAGCCAAATTTAGAATTAGAATCAGCAGCATGTGTCTATTATAAGGTTATAAGCATGTGGTGAATCTCAGCCCACCCCTGAGGGGCCGATATTAAGTATGCATTGTAAGACAAGTCGGGCAGAGTTTTGCGGGGAATCTGGCACTAATTATTAGTACAAGAGCCCAGACAGACCTCTTGCTGGCTCGTGTTTCTAAAGACCTCGTACGTTCGCGTGGGCGAAGAAGCGCTCGTGACCAAATGCCGATAATGAGGTCTCGTATGCTAGCGTATCCTCCCTCGCAGCTTTTGTTCGCTCTCGTCACGCAACGGAAGGAGGGAGTGCGCGTTGCGTGACGAGACCAAACAATGGATCCGAAGGAGACAACAGTGAGCGTTGCACCGATTCAGTTTATTTTTGCTTACAATAATTCAGACAACAAAGAAAATAAACCACAGAAGGCAGGTTACAAACCCATTTTCTGAATCTTTGCCCGATTTGACGTTCTCACCTAGCAACCATAAAAAAATACCATTAGTGTAAGAGTCACGTTCCGCATATATCGATAGTTTTACTAATGCGTAGATCAATTCGAGGCTTCATCATTCCCCCATTTTCTCACCAACTTTTTTTTTTTTGATTTTTTTTTCTTCATAGGCGACGGACTTCGCTGAAAAGAAAGACTGGAACTGCTTGTAGTCTACAACTGCCAAAAAGACTGCAAATGCATAAAAAGTTTGCATATTGTAATTTATCACGTAAACTGCGGTGTTATGCAGGGATTTCCGGTCCTGAGAAAAGCCGTAACAACACAGGTGAAAAGATATCGTATTTGTTCACGTGTGTTGATAAAGCCAATACAATTTGTCGGAACTTTATCTATAAAAGACCCGCGCGCTCGATGTACTTTGGTTTGATTTATGACCCTCAAGCGAAAGAAAAAACTCCTCTAACAAAGTATACAAAAAATATTTTCGTTGCAGATATTCGCAATGAATCCAGAATAAAAGCTGAACAAAATAGAAATGTACTGACTCTCACAAGGGCGTTGTACTCTAACCAAGTGCTTTTATTTCTCACCAAACGTTTTTCTAGTTATATTTACATTATATGCTACCAAATTTAATGTATGTGGCTTAAAAATAGGCTGCGATTTGGCCAGTGGAACTCGTATCTTCTTCAAAGTTCTTCTCCAGCTTTCTATGGTGCAGCGCTTTAAAGGTCACACTTCGCAACAAAAAGATTCGTTTATGTTATCAAGCCAAATGGACATTATCATTTCATTGTCATTATCATTTCAACTTCATGTAATATTGTAGTTTGATCGTCCGGGTGAGTGTAGTCCTGAGAAGGACTGTTGTCGGTAGTGGTGACTGACGTTTCGACAACCTGAGCGGAAGTCATCATCAGAGTCAAGTGAAAGTTTGTTGTCAGTCGAATGTACTTAGTCCGGTTTGTGTACACTGATTGTTCAGTTTTGCCGTGATGTTATTGGCTGTAAGACTCAAATGGCGTAGGTCAGTCGTGATTGGTCGGTTTGGATCCGTTAGGTAAGTTAGGTCGTTCTGTTCGGGTCGTTTGTAATTTGTCGTTTGGATGAGTCGTTTGTATTGTGCCGGTAAAGGTTGACACCTGTTGAGGGGAGTCTGTTCCAAGTTAGTAAACCAGCTTTCCAGAGTCAGTCGTTGAAAGTAGTTGGTGCTGTAGGTTAGGCATTGCGCAGAGTCCCAGTCAATAGTGTGGTTCCTAAGTCGGTGATATTCAGCAATGTGATTGTTGACATCGCCTTTCCTCGTCGCTCGTTTGTGTTCAGCCAGTCTAGTTGCGAGGTTTCTGCTAGTCTCACCGATGTAGGAGGCGTGGCAGTCGGAGCAATTGATCTTATATACTGCTCCTTGTCTGTTCCTCGGTTCGTCTCTGTCTTTGATGTTAGTCAGTAACTGACGTAGTGTGGTAATAGTTTTGTGAGCGACGCGGATATTGAATGGTTGTAGGATGCATGAGATGTTCTCAGATATGCCCCTTATGTATGTTATAGTGGCTGTGGTCGTAGGAGTTGCGTTGTCGTTAGCTTCGGTAGTAGTAGGTCTGTGAGTGTTATGTTGGATGAAGTCTTCGTTGTAGTTGTTCTTTGAAAAAACACGGTTAAGGTACTTGTTCTCGTCGGATAAGCTGTCTGTCGTATTACATACTAATTGCGTTCGTCGGGTAAGAGTCCTGATAGTAGTGGCTTTGTGTGATGTCGGGTTGTAGGATGACTCGTCCAGTAATCTGTCGGTATGTGTCGGTTTACTGTAAACTGTTGTCCGTAGTGAATTGTCGTCACGGCTTACCAAGCAATCTAGAAAAGGTAGTTTAACATTTTCTTCGACCTCTCTATTAAACTGTATGTCAGTGTTTTGTTCGTCAAGGCGGTGGTGGAATGCGTCGATTTCGTCGTGTCGTACGGCAGTAAAAGTATCTTCGTACGTACGTAGCGTAACCAAAGTGGTATCGTCTGTCGGCAAGTGGAAAGGGCGCTTTCCTTGATGTTCTGCATCACAATTTCTGCTACAACAACAGAAACTGGAGACCCCATAGTTGTACCGTATAACTGTTTGTAGTGTTTGCCGTTGCAATGAAAGTAAGTTGATGTCAGGCAAAGGTTTAGTAAGTCCATAATGTCCTCTGTCGGTAGCGGTAGAGGGTCGCTAGATTGTAGGATAGCAGTCTCAGTACATTGTAGTGCCAGTTGAAGTGGAATACTTGTAAAAAGCGATTTCACATCAAATGACACTAGTTTGTAGTCGTCAGGTATCTGTACAGTCTTAGTGGCGTTAATGAAGTCCTCGGTGGATTGTAGTTTTCGTCTGGATTTGTCGGTGAGCGGTTGTAGTATTGTCGTTAGGTACTTGGACAGTTGGTATGTCGGAGAACCACAGAAGGAAACAATAGGTCGCATTGGGAAACCAGGTTTGTGTAGTTTCGGCAGACCATAAAGTTTCGGCGGCTGTGGTACTGAGCACCTTAGTCGGTAGTAGCGTTGGGTGTCAATGGCGTTTGTCTTCTTGAGTGTCAGCAATGTGCTGTTGAGTTTGCATTGAAGCGCAGGAGCCGGGTCACGTTTGAGTTCTTCGTAAGTCTGTTTGTCGTTAACAAGTGCCATTTTGTCGTGATAGTCAGTCTTGTCCATGACAACAGTAACTCGTCCTTAGTACCTAACGACAATACTACAACCGCTCATCGACAAATCCAGACGAAAACTACATTAACATTACAAACGACCCGAACAGAACGACCTAACTTCACTAACGGATCCAAACCGACCAGTCACGACTGACCTACGCCACTTGAGTCTTACAGCCAATAACATCACGGCAAAACTGAACAATCAGTGTACACAAACCGGACTAAGTACATTCGACTGACAACAAGCTTTCACTTGACTCTGATGATGACTTCCGCTCAGGTTGTCGAAACGTCAGTCACCACTACCGACAACAGTCCTTCTCAGGACTATACTCACCTGGACGATCAAACTACACTATTACATGTTACCCCCGGGTTTAAACCATCTACTGTATTTCAACTTCAGTTACGATCTAAAAACCTCTAATGTAATCAAGGGCGCTTTCCATCTTGCTCAAATGTCTGATTCAACCAATTGAAATCCAAGCCCAACATGGCCACCAAAAAAAACCAAACTTTGGCAATATTTCTTTTCTTCATCGGTTTGAATGGAAATTCCAGATCCATTTGAACGACATAAATTTTTTCCTTGAGTATACTGTTAACTTACTCGAAAGCTGAGTCAACGAGTAGTTCATTGAAATCTTAGATAGAAGCGACTTTTCCTAGTATTAACGTATAAAAGGTAGACATGTTGAAAATTTTCAGAAAAAAAGTTTTGTAGTTGAGTCTCGCGTTTCGACCCGAAAATCGATTCACGAGTCTGGATAAAAAACACTGCTTAAGGTTATGGGATATGAAACCGGAACTGAATTTTAGCTCAAAGGATAGCGCAACGGGATTAACCTCTCATTGAAAAAAAAAATTATTACACTTGGTTCGAGACAGAAGAGTTTATCTTATTCGTGTCTTCTATTTACAAACCACGCCACATATCAACCGTCGGACATTATGGCATACCCGACGCCAACGGCGGTTCCTAAACACACGTCTGCAAATCCGTCGGGTTACCCAGTTACACACCCGGTTACAAACCCATCCTCTAAATCTTCGCCAGATTAGGCGTTTCTCACCTAGAAACCACGAAAAAATTCATTTGGTGTAAAAATCACGTCCCGTACATCTTTCTTGAGTTTTACACCCCGCCCAGGGTATTTTTTTAACTTTTAAAGATTGGTTCGTTCTTATTCTACTCCCGACTTTCTATGCCAAAATTGCAAATTTTTTATTTAAGGATTCTCTCTTTTGTGATCAACGAATGCTGTAGAATCAAGCGAGGTCACTTATTATATTTCGGTGCTGCTGTTGGGTGATTCGCTTGTATGCATCAAACTGCGCTGTAAAACTTTTCGTTCTAAGTCATTTGCTCACAAAACGTTCTCTTTTCATTTGGACTCCTCCATGTTAAAAAATAAATACACTTGTATTCTTCTTTGCCGTCTCGACACTTCAGCTTTAAATTCCCCATCCAGGCAAGGTTCACATTCCCCACCCCCTAGAGGGCCTTTTGGTCAAACGACCCTGGGTGTCCGAATCGATGTCTACATGTATCATGTATTACCGCGTGAATTATCTCGTGGATAATGCGTGACACATCACCCTGTGGTACGCACACATGCGCTATAAAATAAAACACCACACAAATCTTCGAATTTTCCACAAATGTAGTTAGACAAAGTTTCCTTTAGTCCCTAAGTCTTTCTGATTGAGGGACCAAGGCGGCTAATTATAAGCGGGAAAAATGGCCCATCTCGCTTTCTTGAGAGTCAATTAGCACACATCAATCGAATCACGTTACCAGCACGCAGAGGTAATAAGGTCCCATTTTTTTTCTAATCTTCGATGTAGACAGGGAATAATATTAAGGATTACATTCTTTCTTTTAAGCAGTTCTCTCTTAATTTGCGTTATTTTGTCAAAGAAAACAAAAACAATAGTTGTCCTAAACACATCCCACCCACAGCCTCACCCTGACACCTTACATTACCAGAGAGCACATCCTATTCAATACGACTTACGTGCGTTAGGAATGTCATATAGATTGGTTATTTCAGGGAAATCCCTGGCTTCCTCATCAATGACTTCATCAACATCCTCATCATACTCCACATCAGCTTCCTTGTCATTTGGTTTCATAGCTCTTCTTACGACCACATAAATTGGCAGATTTGCACACAGATCCTCCATTTCAATACTCAGCACTGAACGATCGTCAAGCAGTTCCACAACCTTCATTTGTATTTCAGTTGAGGTGGTTGGTACGTCTTCACCTGTTCCGAAAGTATGCTGATTATATAATGAGACAAAGTCATGAAAATTAGCAATCAGACGCGCCAAAACATTGCGAGGCTGACGGTAAAAGACCCAAGGTGTGGAAGTAATTCAATCTCACTCACCGTCTCTAAAGCTTCCTTTAAAACAGCGGGTGTGGGAGTTTTATCGACTGAATTCGCCACATAGCAAGCCTTTTCTGCTGGCAGATGAATCATTGTCACTTGCTGCATGAAAAATAAACTCGGCTTCAGTCGGTACTTTAGGGAAAAGCAAATAGTAAAGTGGACACAGATACAATGAACTGACACACTTGAAAACCTAAAAGTTTATACTGAGATAAACTCGAGTTATTGCAGTAAGTGATAATGATAAAGATGCATTTAAATGGCGCATTTTCCGAATGAATATGCTCTGATGCGCTTAACAACCCTTCCTCGGGGGACTTTGTCCAAACTACAGTTTACAATGCTCTATTCAAATGAAATTTGTAGGTACTCTTAGTTTAGGAATTTGTGGACACATGGCCAGGCCATAACACCGGAGCTACGTTCTTAACTCTTTGCGAGAGGTGCGTAGGTTCTTTAAAATTCCTTCCTATCCAGTACAGAGAAGATGCAGGAGACGGGGCTTACGGTTTATCGTCCTTATTTGGATAAACTTGAACGTCTAAACATTTGCAGATGTCATAGCAAAGGCAGCACATTCTCGTCATTCATATTAAGACTCTGAGTGTTGGGCGGGTCTGGGACTTGAAACCTTCACCTCGTGCACGGCAGTCCAGCGCTCTACAACCTGAGCTAACCGTGGGGTTATTAATATCATTAGAAGAAATGGCATGAAACAGACTTTTAGCGAAGCTTGCAGCGCGTAACAAAGTGCCATACTAATAAAAAAAATGATAGTAATAATCTGGTTAATAAAAATCTAAGAAAACACATAATATTTAAAGGAAAGAGGTCCTTAAACAACTTATCGGTGAAAGGTTTTTTTTTTTAAAGTGAACGAGTTCAATACTTCACCGCCCTCACCAGCCCAAACAATTGTATTCAACAAATACGACCAAATATTACCTTTTTGAAATCGTAGATTATATCTCCTGCTGATTTATTAGGTGATGTCTTTGGTACATGGAAAGTCTCTGTTCCCTTTGTAATGTCGATTGCAATCTCTTCTTTAAATGTTTTCCCGCCTTCAGAGAACTCCACTGAATATTTACTGACAGAGCTCTGAGAAAAATAGGATTTTATTTAATTAAAAGAAGATGTATTTCGACCTACATGTAATTATATGGATTCGTGAAAAGGAAGTTGGACGGCACTGACTTGAAAATTCTGGTCTTTGTTAACGCAACATTTACTAAACTATGGCATTACAGAAACTGAACTTGCAACGATCGATCTTTATTTAAAAGGAACAATTTTATGAAACAGGCCAAGGGTAACGCAATAAATTTCTAACCCCTCAACATCCAGGATTTCTGCCGACTGGTAACCATACATTTTCCAATTGGCTCTCTGAGAGAATTTGAAGCTAAATCAAGACCATGTCTTTTTCTTAATTCTCATTATATTCCGGCCCGACAATTTATTTTAACTGCTTGGATATTAAAACAAATAATCACTTACCTTCTTCTCTGATATCGAAGAGAATGACTCGACAGATACGACCAACGGGGCAAGAAACGAAAACAATATTGACAACTTGAATGTCTGAAAAAACAGCAAGTCAGTAATTTAACGCGAATTTCGAATTTTAGCATTTAAAAACTTCTCTTAGTACAAAATTTTTTAGACTATTCATCCTTTTTTCTTTCTCCCTATCCAGGTCGCGATCAACGGAAAGACTTTCGAAGGATAAAGCGAGGTACAGATTTCAATGCCGTATGCGTATTTTGACGTAATAATCGGAGAATTCCAGTAAGACATTTCCTCGCATCATGAACATAAAGTGGCGCGCATCGCCATCGGGAAACTACCATGTCCAGATCAAGTTAACAAATACAAACGCTGCGAAGCAGTTTCTGTGTAGATCGATTATGATCGAGTAATAGTAAAAGAAATTTGGAGAAATCGATTTTGAAGGATGTTGTTTCTTAAATTAACACCAAAAGTTTAGAGTAACTTATTTGGAGACGACTTTAATTTTGTGTTGTCCTTTCCAAAATCTCGCACATTCCTTGCTTGTGCTTTATCGTATCGATTCCGCTCTTAATGGCAATTGAATCTCCACTTGTTGAGTCAAAGTTTGGTACTAAGTTTCCAAGCTTCATGATTTCAACATGGTTTAGAAAGATCACTTTTTTTCTTCCTGTCAATAATAATTCGATCGCCGCCGATGCGGCAGGGTACATCATTTATTCCAAATTTACTTCACGCTGTGAATGTCACTTACTCTTTCTGTTTCCTCAGGATTGGAGTGCGAGCGAAAGGTGAGCCGCCTGAAAGCGCGGAAAAAAGGCTCTTATATTCAGCTCGTTTATGCTTTGCTAAAAGGAGACGAAAAGACTGTTACTCAGGCTAAGGTTTTGGCAGAGCTGAGTGCGATAAAGATAGCATGCTAATTTTTACAAAATATAAAATATCTTCTAATGAACAGTTTTCCTTTAACTTAAGTATCAGCTTGAGGCAATCGGAAAAGCTATAAACGAGTGAACACAAACACAAGCATTATGCTTATTAATATAGATAAGTCTTTTATTTTTTACCCACAAAGTCCCACTTCATCATGTAAAAGCTCCATACAGATGTTTTTTCTTATCTTTTGCCTATTTTGTGCTTTTTCCAAACATTCGGGTTATGCTTGTATAGATTTGTCACCAATAACCTGAGCAAGAAAGGTATGTACGACGATGGAGTTGCTTGCGGAAGAGAATAGTTGCCGTGAAAGCGAAAAATACATTGTGATAATAATAATCATAGCACCGAACAAAGAGCTTCGGATCTCATTTTCTAAAAGGCCCGGGTTCTTTGATCCCATAGTAATTGAAGGCAAAGAGTTGGAGGTAGTTAGTAGCGTAAAGCTCCTGGGCCTTAATATAGCTAGCGACTTGACCTGGAACAGTCATATATCAGAAGTAATCAAAAAGGCCAGTAAGAGGTTGTATTTTTTAGTGCAACTAAAGAGAGCTAGGGTTCCCTTACAAGACCTAGTACTTTTCTACACATCATGTGTAAGATCTGTAACAGAGTACGCGATACCTGTCTTCTATAATGCACTTCCGCAATATCTGAAGAATGAGCTTTTACGTATTGAGAAACGGTCAATTTCCATTATAACTGCGGGTGATTGCGCGGTTGCTCAAGATTTAGGAATACGACCCATCTTAGAACATTACGAATTTCTATGTCAGAAGCTTTTTTAAAGGTATCTTAGACAACCCTAGCCACAAGTTAAAGGCGCTTCTTCCACCCATACATAAACCCAGCTATAACTTCAAAAATAAGCGCCAATTTAATATGCCACGCCTTCGCACTTCGAGAACGATGAACACTTTTATATTTGCTATGGCAAGGAGGTTTAATGGCTAGATTTTTATCGATACGATATCCTTTATTTTTGTTACGGCACGCGTGATAATTATAGTAATAATAATGATAATGATAATGTAGATACTTTTAATTAATTTAAATTTATTTTAATTAGTTTACATTTATAGCTAATGTATTTTATTTAATTTACTATCATGTTATTATATTGTAAATTGCTGGTATAATAAGACGTGTAATTAGGTTTTGAATTTTAAATTTTAAATTTCTTGGATTGTAAAAAATGTGTAATTCAGCCCTCGGGCTGCAAATGCATTGAGATTAAAAAAAAAAAAAAAAAAAAAAAAAAAAAAAAAAAAAAAAAAAAAGAACATTAGCAACAAACGTATGTAAACGTAAACGTAAATAAAAATGGGTCATCAGACAAAAGGAAACAGTATTTCTTTTATTAACATGACATATATAAAAGATCTCGATTTGTTCTAATCCTGACCATGAGTTGTAAATTCTCACTTCACCCCACATATTAAGAGGGAAAGATGGCGCGACACTCTTCATTTATGAGTACGTGATTTTATATGTTGTTTGTGTTATCATCAACTTTCAAGGAACATAGAATTGAATCCTACAGCGCTGAAGAGGAACTTTTTCAGGCAGGAAACCAGCGCCAAAATGTTATCAATATTTGTTTCGAGATTGTTGAAACGCCATGCATTTAAATGGCAGAAGCTCGCCTGAAAGCAAATCAGAAGCTCTGGCGTTTGACTTGCTGTGTTCTCACCCTGTTTGGGAAAATGGTGAGTTTTGAAAATATTAGGAGTATTTGTAGCACGAACTGTCGTCTTGTCAAGATCCAATCCCTAATTCCACGTTTAAATAGAAATGTTGGGTCATATTTTATTTGTTTTTCGATTCCTCATACTCCGGCTAGTATCAGACGACTATTGAAATTCTTCATCTGAATGCCTAGATATTATTGATATAAAGCAAGAGAAAACTCATATGTCGAGTACGGGAGTACAAAATAAGATAAGTTTTTAAATGTTAAACGACTGAAGGTTAAAAGTTACTCCCTTGACAATCTTGAAAAGGGAATAAGGTTTTACGAGACTTAAGAAGTGGATGTCGACAATGAATAAAAGTGCTTTTTCTTAAATGCTGTGACTTTTTAGAAGTCATTAGTTACACTTAGAACAAGTAATTAATGCTTCATTGTTCCTTTATTAGAAACATCAACTAAAAACAGCCGTACGAATGCTTTTGAATTCATGCATAGCTCCATTTTAAGACAGTTGGCATCGGACGAACCAAGTTCAAGAGGGCTCAAATAAACTTATATCATGAGGAATTTTGTCTTAAGTCGTCTATGTTGAAATCGCTCATAAACCTTCAACGAAATTCGCGTTAAATTACTGACTTGCTGTTTTTCCACAGACATTCAAGTTGCCAACATTGCTTTTGTTTCTTGCCCTGTTACCCGCGAGATAATTAATGCGGTCATACAAGATAAATGTAGACACCGATTCAGACACCCTCGGTCGTTTGACCAAATGCCCTCTCGAGGGTGGGGAATGTCAACCTTGCCTGGGTGGGAAATTTAAAGCTGAAGTGTCAAGACTACAAAGAAGAATACACGTGTTTTAATTTTCAACATGGAGGAGTCTAAAGGTAAAGAGTACGTTTCATGAGCAAAGGCTTAGAACGAAGAGTTGCACAGCGCAGTTTGATGCATATAAGCGAATCAGTCAACAGCTGCACCAAAAACTAATAAGTGACTTTGCTTGATTCTACAGCATTTGTTGATCACAAAAAAGAGAATTCTTAAATAAAAAGTTTGCTTGAGCGGGGCATTTGAACGCAATTTTGGCCTAGATAGTCGGGAATAAGAACGAGCCATTCTTAAAAAGTTCAAATGCCCGGGGGTGGGGAATGATAAGGCCTCGAATATAATTACGCACAACTAAAACTCAAGAAAGATGTACGGGACGTAATATTTACACCAACTGCATTTTTTCGTGGTTAGTGAGAAACGCCATATCTGGCGAAGATTCAAAAGATGGGTTTGTAAGCGGGTGTGTATGTGGAAAACCCGAAGGATTTGCAGACTTTTCTCTTTCAACCGCCATTGGCGTCGGGCATGCGATAATGTCCGACGACGGATCTGTCGCGTAGTTTGTAGATGGGTGATAGGAAGACGATAAACTCCTCTGTCTCGAACCAAGTATAACAATGTTTTTTTCGATGAGAGATTGATCCAGTTGTGCTTTCCTTTGAGTTAAAATTCAGTTCCGATTTATAGCAAGGGGTAAATAAGATTACCACGAGGAAAGAAGAATGACAATATTGCTTTAAGCATGCAATGGTCTGTTGTATTCTAAAATGAGAGTCGGATATGAAATGGTAAAATCAAATGAGAACTTTCCAAAAATCCTGTAAGCTTTTGTCGCTGCTAAGCCCTACTGGCTGATCTCCAAAGAATCATTTGGTGGAATCTTATTGCTTCTTGTTGACGGACGGTGGTAAATTGATAGTCGTTGTTAATTGAAGCTATGCTGTTGTGCAGGTGGCGCATTTCTTCTTGGGAATAAAGGTAAAGACAGACCGGGTCGCGTCGCATTATCGCTTTCAAATTATATTTTTATATTTTTGCTTTCGTAAGCATTTCTTTAGGGGATTTTCTCTTTTGTAAGAGATGATCGGAGGTTTTGTAAAAATTGTTTTCAGCAAGGGATGATTGTGTATCAGAC